CATGCATGCATGCAGTGCTGCAAACATATGCAGTACATAGGACTATATGTATATGTATATAGTTATTATATGATATAAGCTGCTGAGAGCTTTCCCTTTGTCATTGGGTGTGCATATGTATATGTTTACACTACACCAACAGCATTAATAATTTAAATGGATGACAAAGCAGCCAGCAATGGAGGAGATATATATCCCTTGCAAATGGATTTATGAAAACTGAGAGGGAAAAAAGTTATAAAATTGTCGGTTTATAATTATGCTTAAAGCAATTTTGTGTACATATGCATAGGATGGATCATCAATTAAGAATTTAAATGAAACTTTTTCTATTATATGGGCACTTATGACACTGTTAATGAATGCAACAATAAATTATAAGTTTTAGAGAATAAGTGGCCATCTGATATAAGCTAATAAATAACAAAGCCATATTCCACCTATGGCCATTATACTTGTCACCCATGCTGCATAAGTATGCAATGCAATGCACTATACATAGATAAGTTGGAGGTTTTCAAAATTGTGTACGACTGTGATTTAATCATTGAAACGATTGCAGTAGTTGACAATCAAGTATTGTTTGCTATCAATCAGAAATGCGAGCTAAGTGTTCAATTTTTTCTACCTCTTCACTCTATATCAGAGACTTATTTATTTATGTCTTTGAACTCGAAATTATTTTACTAAAGTTTATTCATTATTATTATTATTATTATTATTATTATTATTATTATTATTATTATTATTATTATTATTATTTTTGTAATGTAACGAGAAACGAGTTTCGTCCACAACTACTGTGCAAGAAGAAAGTTGGCGAAATATTTTATAAATTAATTTAAATTGTAGTGCAGTTCCATAGATACTTTGTTTATATTTTATGTAAAACTGTATTTTGCTTGTTCATCTTTAATTGTTGCTGCTACGTGAACACCAACTCTGTGGTGCATCATACAGATATGCAGAGAGACGGTTTAAAGGAAAATATAAAATCGCTCGCCCACCAACAAATGATTGAATAATTCAATTTAAAGGCCGTCGCAAAACGATCTCCCAAAAACAAGATTAAAAGCGTTCAGGTTCGTTTTCGGGAAGAATGTTTGTTACGTCCCACCTCAGAGATATTTATAAAAACTACATACACTACATACACTAATAGTAAAAAATGTCAAAAAACTAACTAAGGGCTAACATTGCAACACTGTAACGCCATTTGTATGGTACGAGGAAGATAGATAGCACATCAGTAATATTCCTTAAGAACTAGAGAGCACCGCGACTATTGCGGCAAGTCACAAACAATTTAAGGGGCTCTCCGACCAATAGCGTGACTGGTCCATACGCGATAGAAAAAAACAAAAAAAAAAAACAAAAAATTCCTATGTCTAACAGCTATGTAGGAGAATTTAAAAAATCTTGATTTTTGTACGATTGGCGCACACTTGAATGGAATAGTTCAATGTTCGACCAACACAGAAGGCGCTCTCTCATTATTATAATAAGAAATGTTTTAATTAATTTGGCAAAAAAAATCCTACACATCTCGCTACAGAGTGTTATTTGAAAGATGCCGGAAAACCGTGAAAATGGTTGCAATTACTGCTGCTGCTAAACGCTTTTAAGGTTTTCCAATACGTTAAAGACCTGCCTTAAATTATTAAAATATTCTTATTCATTCATTGTCCTCAACAACGAGGTTTTTAACCTCGAATGTGCCTGTTTGGCTGCGTCTGTCGCAGGTTCTAAATTTTACATGTTCCTAAATGATGGAGTATCGTAAGCAATATCAAAAAACTTCTTCTTAAACCTTGAATTACTTTGCAAAAACATTGAAAGCTTTCGAAGCACTCTCAACTCGAAGCACTATCCAACGGTTGTCGCAGCGAAGCTACATTAATGCATGTTTGTGCGTGAACCATTTTAAATGAAGTTCTGAACTTCCGAACCTGTTGTAAAGAAATCTCTTGGCAATTATTAATTAACAAGTAAAACATATTCCAACTTTTATATCTGAGCTTATGTTTGCTAGAGATTTTAAGTTATTGGATTTCACGTCAAGTGTGGTCATTTTCTTGGGACAGTCTCTCTTGTTTTCACAACTGACACATGGCCATCAACTGAACATTTTTATGCTAATTTCTCTTCTCTTTTTCTTTCTTTTTTTATCTAATATGATGAGAATTTCATGCTAATCAAGAATAGATATAATACCTAGATCTGAGTGTTATAAATTCAAAGACCAATCTTGTATGCCTCGTATTGTGTAGATTGTACGGTAAAGTGAAGATGCGCACGGTACGCATCATCGTCGAATACTCTATATAATGTGTATATGCATATTTATAAAACTTAGCAGCGCCGTCCAAGTAATTGCCCAAACTAAGCGTTACGTGTATGCACACCATACGGTTATTTGGTTCTTGTCGTAATTTCAGATCAATCCAGCAGATTTTCGAACATGATATAAAGTAATTATAATATTTAGAAGAGCAAAAAATACAAGTGAATTGGTAATGTGTTAAAATATATATTAATATATCAGTGACAATCGGAAAGAAGTAAGGAGGTGAGTGATGGTCGCAGTCTAGTGCCGAATCGATAACGTTATGCATATACTAACTGAGCGTTCACTACAGTTACGAGCAAAGTAAACTTTACAGCGAGATTTCAGGCCGCGGACACTGAATTGGCAGTCGCGACTCTTACCTACTCGGCTACTTAGTGCAACCGTAGAGTTGTAAAGGAATTCAATCTGATGAAAATTATAAGAAGAAAATAGAAATCTAAAGTTATGCTTCTCCACAATGCGTGAGATCGTAACAGTAATTCTAACAGATAAACGTAATTTAATTGGGTTTGATTTTCGTGTTGATCATGCATAGACACTCACTCACATGGTAACAATGCGTGTTAAGTAAAAATATATTCCCAGAACTCTTGAATATATAATCTATGCAGGTACATAATCTTGATTGACGTTAAGCTACAGTTGAATATGAAGTTTTTCTTCTATAATCGAATATCGAATATTATTCTATGGGTACACATTATTATCATTATTATGTATTATGGGATTTAATTGCAAGATGAAAACGTTGTAAGTTTTATTTTTACATGAATGTGTTAAGCAACTCGAATTAAACTGAGTATGTCTTCTTTTCAGGTATATCTTGATCAATTAGTGGTTACTCTATGCGCTTCTTCTACTTAATGTTAACTTATTATCCGATTAGTCGACTTATTGGTCGGTCACTAAAGTTGTTTTAAATTATCCTCATTCATAGTCATTTTCAACAATATGTAACAGGCTTTTGCAAAAAAGATTTTAATAAGAAGCAGAAGGCTATGGCATCTTAGAAAATTCCAATCAATTGTTTGCTTGACATTTAATTGCGATCGTTCTATGCCCCCGAGGCTTATGGGTATGTATTTCCTAAAGTATTTTTGATTTTTGAAAGCTAATAAGTCACTGCATAAATTTATGCGTACACATCAAACATGCATATTAAATAAGCACACAGACGCGGTACATGTATTTGTTATAATAATAAGCAAAAGTCTTCATTTGGCATAAGAACTTGTCTACAACGTTGGTCAACAATTCTCGGGACTGGCATAAAAAATCTGTTTCTAAAAAATACGCTAGTGGCCTTAGGAAGGCTCATCCACTCTCATCCATTTTCAGAAGCAATGGCGATATCAATGATCCTCAACGTAGCAGACGCACAAAAGGGAGGCAGTTGCATCTGAAAACCTCAGAGGAAACCTAGAAACTAGTGCTCATAATCGAAATGTAAAGTTGCGAAGGATATCTTCCAGTGCGAGAAATATGACAAGACACTCTATTCTTATTACATTTCCATGAAATTTCAAACATAAAGGAATCATTTTTGAAGTGTGTACCAAATTTACGCACAGTGTAACAAATAAATCGTAGAATTGCATGATTGGAACTGCCACACATACCAGACGAGTAATACTATCGCACAGCCAGCGTTTATTACCTGTTTGAAAATCTCCAAAAGATGCTTCAGGTAAGAAGATTTTAAACAAATGTAGAAGGAATTGCGAAAATTGTGGCAGTTTTTGGAATGTTTTTTGATAAACTGTTTTATGAAAAACGCGTCGAAATGTTGGGGAAAGCGTTGAACTTAAAAGAGAAACATAGTTCGAGGAATCGCTGACCGATATGCGATTATACGTTAACAAGGTGGAACTTTAGCACATTCATTGGAAAACATTGGAATGTGTAAAGCATTTTATTTGGCAGTCAACTTGTAATTGCCCTCAGTTATAAGTATTATAAGTAGGCGCCCTAGATGCCTAAGGAAAGCTTCTTCCGTTCTGCTCTTTCTCTTTTCGTGTGTTCCTCTCTTTATTCTTCTGTTGAGTGTTAATTGTAGCTCCTTCCTGTTGTCTTAATACGTCGGAGAATCTCGCTTAATCAAGAGTCAGTGAATAAGCCCTTCAAAATGTTCTCCTAGCTTTCCTTACTTTCTACTGATAGCGTGGCCTCATTGCTTGCTTGTTTTATTATTTTCACAATAATAATAAATAATATTGTTAGAGAGCCTTATTTCCCACTATCTCAATAGTGGATAGAGTTGGTTCACTTGTATCGCTGAGCAGCTTAAGTGCAACGCATAATAATTGCAGAAGTGAAAATCGGCAGGAATTTCTTTTACGCTTGCTACTATCATTAACTGAAGTTTGTTTTGTTCCAAGACTTAAGGGACTGTAAAGTATTTGTGCCCGCTGCTCATTGAATGTCAATTATGTTCCCTTCAATATTAAATATTAGTTCTTTTTTTGTCGTTTTTTTTTTTGCAGCAGCAGCTGTCAAATTCTTCTTGCATTGTATTAACTTATGCACAATTGAATCGCACCACATCATAAA